GGGGTATCCAGAGGACTATCACAGTCCGTTGGCACTAAGTGCGCCGCAGGCGGCCATGGGGCTTGAACCCACAACCTCCTGAATGCCACTTGCATGCCTAACCAATTGAGCTAGGCCGCTGGATAGGCGGGTTTTATTTCGAACCCCCACCTTCCTACGAGTTCCTGACAAATTCCGGAAAATGTCTGCCTTGAAAAGGCTGTGTGGCGAGCCCCTACTCCCTACTTGGAGGAAAAATGCCAGGAGAAAAACTGCCAGCAGTGGATTAGCATGCCAGCAGGGCAGTTTTTCTCCTGGCATTTTTTCAGGAGTGCACTGTGCACTGTCCCCACACCAACTGCCGAGTTGGAGTTGTCTGAATGAAATCCGGAGTTAAAAAAAAAAAAACGAAAATAAGAATGAAATCGGAAGTGGTCAGAAAGTGGCGTTCCAGAGCATTCCCGAAACCTCTTGTGACTCCCGCCTGCGAATGGCCATTTTCGGGAGAAGTCACGCAGAGGGCTGGTTTCGACCCGAGTTTTTGTGAAGGGACCCGACCGGCGACCTACAAGGTGGACAGTGCACGAGAAAGTGCACCTCCTGGCCTCCAAATCCCAGAGCAGGCCGAGTCGACAGAGCAATGTGTGTGTGGCGAAGACCACTCCCGAATGGATTTAGACGTCGTCTGACGTTCGGGAGTACTCCCGAAAATTTCCTCCAAGTCCTGAGTGCTGTGGGGAGGCCCCACATCCCCCTCCCTTTGTGTGGGTTTTGTGTTTTTTTTTGTGTTTGAGGTGGGTCATCCATCACATTCGTTGTTTCTTCGTCATTTGGGATGTCGAAGTTCATTTTGTATCGACGACGCTCTGTAACTGCCTCTCGCTCACGTGGGGTTCTTCTGTGTGAATGCGGAGGGAATCTGTTTTCCGTTCTTTCACAGCGTTGCGTTTTCTTTGGCGCTTTCCCGCCGTGTGTTTGCTATCATCAGCCATCTCGGTGGTAAATAGTGTTAATTAAAACACCCTCCTCCTCTCTCCCTCCCTGCCTTCCTCCCTCCCTCCCTCAATCAATCAATCAATCAATCAATCGATCAAAGCCTGCTTTGGCGGTTTCATTTTGGCGGGGGCTCTTTCCGGGGGTGACTGCGGCGGGGGGGAGAAGGAGAAGGAGAAGGAGGAGGAGGAGCGCGCCGAGGTCCGGCAATGGAGGCAGGAGGAGATCAGGGGTGGTTGTCGGTTTTCTCCTCGATCCGGTCGCAGCAACCTCACAGCATCGCGGCCCTCGAGTATCCCAATCCCGTCCGTCGGGCTCTTCCTCCCCCGATCCCGACGAAGGAGGTTATCGGCGACGGGAACGGAGTGACAGGTGAGGGAGTCGTGCCCGTCAGTCCCAAGGCACTGGGAACGATCGCCGCAATGAGAGGGAACAGGTGCCAGCTGGCCATGCCTTCGGTCGCCACTGACGGCAGTCTTGTGGAGTATCTAGATGTCGAGATCCCCGCCGCCGGCGATGGTGTGTGTGGCAATCTTGTGGAGTATCTAGACGTCGAGATTCCCTCCGCTGACCAGTCATCATCATCATCATCATCATCGTCGCTCCTCAAGTCATTTCTGTCGGCAGACAATCCAGCAGCAGCAGCAGCAGAGGGCACGGCGCCTGCGATCCTTCCTCTCCATCAGCAGGAGAGAGTGCGTAGTCTGCAGAACGACCCCCCAGTTGGCCTGCTGGTTGAAGACGCGCCGGGCAAGTACGCCGCCCTTGTCAACGTGTTCCGCCTTCTGCCAATCCACGAGAGGATGCTGACTGTACCCTTCGTGTGTCGCGAGTGGGTGGAGGCAGCGAGGGACCCTTCCTGCTACGAGGACGTAGCCGCCAGCTCCGTCATCGACGCCATAGCCGAGGGATTTGCTCCCGAGGAGGTTCCTAGCAGGATCGGGCAGTTCTTGGAACAAGTGCTGAGGTTGGCCAATGGAGAGATCAAGGTGCTGCGCCTGTCTCGCTGCTCCGATGGGGAGCTGCGCGCCGTGTCGAGGGAGTGCCCGCTGCTGAAGAACCTGTCGGTCAAAGGCAGCAGCACGCTGGTGACCAACGCTGGAATCGTCTCCATAGCCAGGCATTGCGGCAACCTCACGCAGCTGGAGCTCGAAGGGTGCTTGAAGTTGACAGATGCCGCCATAGCCGAAATCGCGAAGCATTGTCACAGGGTGCAGAGATTAGGGTTATCTGATTGCACTCGATTGACAGCGGCAGCGCTGAACGCAATAGCGCAAGGTGTGCCCGACCTCCGGCAGCTTAACGTGAGCGGCTGCGTCCGCATACACGACGATGGTGTGGTGGCTGTCTCTTTGGGATGTCCTAATTTGCTGGCGATCGACCTCAGCGGCTGCGAGAAGATCACGGACATCGCGCTCGTGAGTCTAGCGGAGAAGTGTAAGAGACTCCAGGAGGTCAAGATCAACGGCTGTTACCGAGTCACTGATGATGGGGCGATCGGGCTCGTAGAGCATTGCAAGGACGTGTCCTCTCTCCACGTGAGCGAGTGCGTGAAGCTGACCACCAGGATGCTCGACGCCGTAGCGGAGAACCTGCATGGACTTAGAGATCTGGACATCAGTTGCTTCATGAACCTCACGGACGAAGCGCTCGTGACCGTTCTGCGGCATTGTGGCAAACTGACCAACCTGAATATAAGTGGATGCTCGCACATCACCGATCAGGGATTGGCGGCGATTGATCGACTTTGCCCGTGGCTGGGGTTGCTGAACGTTCGCGGGTGTCGGGGTCTCAGCACCGACGCGATCACCCAACTGAAGAGGGGTTGCACTAATTGGCGCTCTGTCTCCTAGTAGAGCAGCAGCAGGAGGAGGAGGAGGAGGAGGAGSAGGAGGAGGAGGAGGAGGAGGAGGAGSAGGAGGAGGAGGAGGAGGAGGAGGAGGAGGAGGAGGAAGAACATCTTGGCATCGTGAGGGGGGGGGATAAACAAGAAACCAATTGCGCTGTGTGTCGTCGAATAGGAGGAGGAGGAGGAGGAGAAGGAGGAGGAGGAAATGGTAGCTTGGCGTCATGAAAGTAAAGGGGGGGATAATTAAACAAACCAATAGAGCTCTGCGGAAAAGTATGACATAAGAGAGAGAACGAATGGAGGAAGGACAAGGAGGGAGGGTGTGTACGTCGACTGGTGTTCTGTGGTAGAGGAGTGCATTTGGTCTTATCTGGTTGGGGAGTCGTCAGATAGAGCAGTGAACGGAGGAGCAAGCAATCGAGCGAGAGCTAGTGAGAGAAGGGAGAGGCGGAACGGAAAGGAGAGCAGGAAGATAACAAACGGAATGGAGATCACAATCCGAAGGCAACGGTGAGAGCAAACGGAAAGGAGATCACAATCGGAACGGAACGGTGAGCTCAATCAAAACGGAACGGTGACAGCAAATGGAACGGTGAGAGCGAACGGTCGAGGAGCTGGAATGACATCTGCTAGGCGGAGGGATGGGTTCGGCTCGGCGGAGGCTGATCTGTCAGTGTTAGCAAATAGGGGAAGAAGACATGGTGGGAGGATATGCAGCCTTTGTATATATGTGTCAGAGTTGTGTGATAAGATGTTGATTGATCTGTGCGTTGCTGGCTGATTGAGTCTGGTCGGGATGCGGAGAAGTAGGCTGCGATTCTCCTCATCAGTGTGTCGTGTGGTTAGCTACTTGCGTCTGGTCGCGATCGCGATATGCTTCAGTTGGGACGTGGACTCTGTCGCGCATTATTTCGTGAAACATGGGATATCAAGGTTAGGTGTGGAGGACTTTGGTCGAAGGGAGGAGATAGTTTTGTGTGATACGCAATAGGATGGGTGAGGACAGGGATGGAGAGAGATGATAATTTCCCCTCGCGTGGTTGAATGAAGGTGTGTGGGTGGGTTGTTGTTCTGGTTGTCGGCGGTCAGTCGCTGGCGTATGCCATCCAGAGATTAGCTGTAAGGAGGGAAGGGAAGAAGGTAGCGCATGTGGAGAAGGGGGAGAGGGAGGAGGTAGTGGGTACGGCGCACCGGCAGTTGTGTGATACCAGCAGGTGGGTGAACCCGTTTACGTAGAGGGGGGTTAAAAACCCATTGGATCTGAATAATTGGGGGATGGCAAGCGGCAGGAGCAGGGGCATGGGTGCGGGTAGGGGCAGAAAAGAGGGGTGCATCCCTCCATTTGTGGGATTAGGTAGTGGCAGGCGATTACTGTCCAATATGGTGTGTGCAAAGGTCTCGGCAATGCAGAACGACTTTTGTACAAAGAACAAGCAGGTCAGAGGAGGAGGAGGAGGAGGAGGAGGAGGAGGGGAGTAGGGGAGGTGCAAAGTTAGCATGCATGACCCTGGTGAAAGGGGACTAGGTTCAGGCGGAGAGAAAATGGCAAGCAGGGCCAGACATTCAAATCATTGGTTGGGATGAATCAAGCCCCTGATTCTGGCGGGAGATTAGACAGGGGAAAGCGGAGCTGGATGGATTTACGTTATGGCCATGGTGTGCTTGCCATTAATAGTAATATTATGGGGGCGTAAATCTCACAGCAGCACTTGTCTGCGCGTATCTGGTCACAAACACGACCAGATTCATTTGAGAAAAGCCGGTGTGTAATGTGGGTGTGACTTCACTTCTGGCTCGTTTAGCCCATTCGTACAGGACGGGATATGGGTCCGCCAGCGAGTTGTATGCAATGTTTCTGCAGAGGCAGGCATGGAGACAGCAAGGGGAAAGAGGGAAAAGAGGAAGAAGAGAGACAAGAGAGAGAAGACCACTGATCGTTGTTATCGATCTCTATGATGGGGGAAACGTGTATGTGTCTTGGACGATGTTGCACTGAGTCCAGTAAGTCGGGGTAGGGAAGATGACAGTGGCGCGACGTTTCTGTGGGCGCATGGAGACAGCACTAGGAAAGAGAGAGGAGAGAGAGAGGAGAGAGAGGAGAGAAAAGACCACCGGTGTTCCTTGTCAATCTCTGCCATCGGATGCGGAAACGCGTATGTCTCTACGACGACGACACTGAGCGCTGTAAGTTGGGCCAGCAGGGGAGATGTTGGCGCTGGAGGGAGTTCGTAGTTGAGCCATTGTTATGGTCGTATTTCAAACGGCGGAGGAGTTCCGTTCGTTCTGTCCTCCCTATAGACCCCTCTTTGCTCCCTGTCACTTCTCAATCAGATTGAGAAAATGTACAGTCGACACAACATTAGCAACGTGTACTGGAGTGAAAGAGAATCGAAGACTTAACTAGCTTGGTGAGTTGATGAAAACTAGAGTTAACTGACTTGAGAGAGAAACCAACAGTTAACTAGCAATGAATAAAGTAGAGTTAACTAGCTTGACAAGTATGTGAAAGGATATGAAGGTCGTGTCTGTCCACGTACATGCTTTACGATTTGGAAATCTTTTCCTGTAGGGGAGAGGAAAAAGGAAATGTCTCATATAGGAAGGGAGTTCTTTTTGAGGTCCTTGACCTCAAAAACTTCTTTTCAGTATATTGAACTGTTTCCCTCCTCCTTCCCCCCCCCCCGCCCCCCCCGCGGCAAAGAAAAAAGAAAAGAAAAAGAAAAAAAAAAGAAAAAGGAATGGAACTCTTTTATCATGCAGAAGGCGAATAGGAAGAGGACAGGTGGAGGAGAAAGGGTCATGGGAGATTTCCATTCAGAGGACGACCCCAAAGCGTAGGCGTGAGGGGTATGAAAACAATTTGTACTCGTTCACGTTGATTTGATTGAAATGAATAAATGAGTCGTTTGGGTGTCTCATTGACTATTCGATGATAAGAAGATTTTTTTTTTTTTTTCCTTCGTTCTTCCCATTGAATATTTGATGTATATACATACAATATATATAACCGCCGCGATATTTGATGTATGTACATACAATATATATATAACCGCCGCTCAACCTATATCCACGTGGGCAGCCTTGTACGCAAGAGGTTTTTTTTTTTTTTTTAAAGGCTAATTCTTTAAGCCCAACCAATTCAATTACCTGTCAAGAGGTTCTGAACAGGGGGAGTTGTAAGAAAAAAGTTCAAAAAACGAGTTATTTTTTTCTTGTTCTCTTCTGTCTTTTTTTTTTCTGTTCTTTCTACACTCTTCTCTCAACTTCAGTTTCTTTGCCTTCCATTACCTACTCCTAAGACTATCTAGAGGGGACCCCTGCAAGCATAGTTTTTCCTCTCTCTGTGAAGGGGAGATTTCATGTTGCCCCTTGCCCCTAATGGTTAGGGTATAGGGTTGGGGCCGCCAGTGGGGGTCTGGCTAGTGTTGGCCATAGCCTCTGCTACTACTCGATGAAGGGTGGGGGACGATGAGAAAGGGAGGCACAGCTACGGCAGGTCTTCTGTCTTTTTTGCCTTTGCGCACTGAAATTCATGTGACGATATATATCTTCATAGTTGATTCTGCAGCTACTGTTTTCTTTTTTAGTTGATGCCTGCTTTTTTTTATAGTTGAAGCCTAGGTTACCAGAGTGGCCCGGGACCATTTGCCCGGCCAGGCCAAAAAATATATTATCTGTTTGACGATATATGCATATACATATAGTATCGTCAAACAGAGCTGCATATAACATTATATTTTAATTGGTAAAGAATTTCGATGTGACCCTGAGGCAGAAGTTGTTCAGTTTATTTTTCTGCATAACATAGTCTTTTTTTCAGTTTTTTTTTATTTGTTTTCTGGCTGGGACCTTCCTTGGCCCTTGCACGGCCGGGCCGCCCAGGCAAACAAGGTGACCTGGGCGACCCGGCTGGTCGCCTAGGTTAGAACTTCGAGTTCTTTCTTTTCCTGTTTTGTATGTACAGAGTGATGGCATGTATTCCTCGTACACTACCTTCTTCACCCAAATGCAGTGCATACGTCTATTTGGGACATCTTTTAGTCTAAGTGCAGGAATAATGATAGTACGTTGTATTCAGAGAAGAAGGTAGTGCCGGTGTTTTAGCATGCAGATGTCCTCCCACCAGTATACTGGAGATGGGAGCAAGAGTTGCAGAAAGGCGCATGGTGGTTAAGAGCTCTGCGTCATGCGCACCATAGGGAATACATGAATAGCTGTTGTCCTTCAGAGGCTCCTCCCAGAAGCAAGAGCTGCGCTGTACAGTTCAGTCCAGGGTTCCGATGGTTGTGCCCTGGGCACAGGCTGTGTGAGGCTGACACATCATGGACTGGCCGCGGGCGAATGAGAATGCAGCATTGTCGTCACACATGCACTGCGAGCCAATGAGAATGTGGCAAACACTTGGAGCCTGGAGAGCTCCCTGGATGCGCCCAACTGTGAAGGGCCCTGGCCCGTAACAGCAAAGGTGGGCCTGGGCGCGGACACTGGGGCCCAACTGGAAGCTACTGGAAACTCATCCAGCCAGGCCCACGCAGCCAAACACAGGTCTGCACTTGCCATAAAGGAAAGTGCCCTGCCCAGCCAGCAGCATTCTGGCCTGAGCAGCAATGCGGTCACGCTGCTGCTGCGCGTTGCGAAGCTGCGCTATGCATGCAGGCCAGGGCGCATGCGGGCAGAAGAGGTGAAAGGGCGTTCCGGTGGCAGTGGGTGCACGGTGGCAATAACTGGGCTGAGCGTGCGGGTGCAGGTGATGGCGATGGTTTCAACGCCCGGGAAACGTATCTCCCTTTTTCGATTTACCCAGTGGAGGTAAGCGGACTTGAACCGCTGACATCCGCCAAGGGGTAAGCAACTACCTCAGTAATTCCTCTCTTCGATTTTACCTAGGAATTTGCAGGAGGAGGCGAATGAGGTGGGGTGTCGAGGTGTGATGAGGGGAGGAGAGAGAACATACCTGGTGTATGCTGGTGGTCGGCATTGATGATGATGGCACGTACAACTTTGATGTGATCCAGTTGCATGAACGTGGATAGGGGTAGGTAGAATTGTATAGGCTGGGCGCTGGACGCCAGACAGTAGGAGCCGTAGGTTAGATAAGTATAAGGCTAGCAGGTTAGTTGATTCCTATGGGTGCATGATTACATCTGCTTTCGATAATTTTTATAAACAGAACCAAGAGGAGGTTATAAACTTAGTCTTTGTCTTTGAGAAAGGGGAGGCTGTTAAATCACCCCCAGGGATAGAAGTTGTCGTTGCTAAGGACCCTGATCTCTTTGAGGAACCCTAAAGAGTTGTAGACCGGGAGGTTGTCCATGCCATGGAGGTAATCCCAAATAGTAAAATACCAGAAGGGAGGATCAATAGGATGACTCTGCCGAGTTGAACGAGTTTCATCGGCAATTGAAAGAGCTCACAGAGAAGGGTTGGATTCGCCCATGTACTTCCTCCTTCCACTCACCAGTTCTATTCGTTCCGAAGAAGGGTGCATTGATAATAGAGGCCTCAATGCCATCACTGCTAAGAACGCAGAGCCTTTACCTCGCATCGACGACGTATTGGATATGGTGTAGGGATGTGAGTACTTTGTAAAGAAAATTTTAATGTTCGGCTGCAGTCTTATTGCCATTACACCAGAGGACCAACACAAAACCGTATTTTAGACTAGGTACTGTCTGTAGGAGTTAATGTTGATGCCCGTTGGCCTTTGCAGTGTGCTGGGAACATTCCAGCAAGTGATGAACAGGGTGTCTACTTGGATAAGTTCATCGTCGAGTACCTTGGCAATATTCTTATCTTCAGAATAACAGTTGAGGAGTATGCCAGCATGTAGAAACTGCACTTTTACACATGCGACAACACAGATATAAGATCAATTTAGAGAAATGAGAGTTTGGTCGCACTATAATCTTGTACTTGGGTCATGAGATATTCGCGGAAAGGATAAGACTTGGAAATACAAAGGTGGTTAGAATTCATGTGCGGAAGAGATAAGGCTTGAAAATGCGAAGGTGGCTAAAATTTGTGAATGGTCATGACCTCAGCTTGTGATTGAGGTCAAATCTTTCTTCGGGACAAACCATGGGAAGAAGATGGGAATGGACGCCTTGACACACCATGGGAATGGACAAATAAATGTGACGTAGCCTTCACACAGTTGAAGTAAGTCAGATGCATCATATGGTTCTCATCACCCACGTTCCGCAGAGGTCATTCATTGTGACCACAACACAAGCCAATATGACATAAGTGCAGTGTTGACTCAACAGGTAGGGAAGACGTTGAGGCGAATAAAGTACGTGAGTAAGAAAATGTTGTCGAAGAAGTTGGCGAAGCGCGCACCTGTGAGAGAGAATTCTACGCCTTTTACAAAGCCTTTGTTCGTTGGATACATTATCTGCTTGGTAGGTACTTCTATTTGAGAACCGACGACCAAACGCTCATGTGGATCGAGTCACAACCTGGTATCTCCGGTGCACTCAAATGTTGGATTAAAATCGTAGATCAATATGATTTGAAGCTAGATTATGTGAAGGGAGTGTACAAGAAGGTTGTCGATGCGTTATAACGAAGGGCATATTACCTAGATACGGTAATTACGAAGTTTGGCCTATTTGACGAAGTAACTCGATTATTGGTGGATGCCTGCAAGGAAGTTCCGCTCATGATGGACATCATACGCAAACTAGATGCTAAGGCTAAGGTTACATTTGATGAGTTTTATTTTGTGGATGAATTACTCTTCCTTGAAAAGGTGGGGTTCAAAAGATTGTGTGTCACGTCCAGTGAGTTCTTACCCAGTTTACTTTTAGTCGGGTGTCATTATGCAATTGGTCAGTTTGGTTGCAATAAGACTAGTGCTAACCAAGTGCAGCGTTTCTAGTTGCCTAGTATGTTTGACTATGCAAAGTAGTACGTCCAAACTTATCAAGCTTGTCAACAGGATAAGCCGCGAGCTCAACCACCGCTTGGGTTATTGAAGCCATTGCCTATTTCCACGGGTCTGGGACAAAGTGACTCCATGAATTTCGTGGATATTCTCGTGACCAGCAAGAGTGGCAAGCGACACATCTTCGCCATAGTAGATAGGTTCACGAAGTACGCTAGACTAGTTGTTATGCCAGAAACCGCAAGGACTGAACACGTTATCATCATGGATAATAAGGTACGTGATTTTGGATTGCCTAAGACCATTGTTAGAGATGTCAGTTGAGAGATGTGGAAAAAGGTCGTTGAACAAATGGGTAGTCAACTCCAAACGACTTCAGGGAATCATCCCGAACCCAACGGCCAAGTGGAACAAATGAACTATGTGGTGCAGCATTTGCTAAGGCATTATATAAGCCCAACCAAGATGACTATGGTGAGAAGCTTCCTCTCATCGCCAGTTTGTACAATAACGTTGTACACAACACCACCTGCATCAGTCTCAATCAGCTGCGTTTGGGTTGGTAGCCTACATCTGCACTAGTCTTCCTCCGTCTTGAAA